ATGTGTTGGATGCTAGTGCCAGTGAATGCTGTGGCATTAGTTCGACACAAATTTCGCCTGATTAATTAAGTATGGCGATCCTCTTCCCAGAAAGAAGGCCTGGTTCGACCTGGTTCGACACGACCCCACACGTAAACACGAGAGAAAGAAGCCTTGCATCCTGCCAGTGGTGTCACGCCGGACAACTCGGACACACATCCAATCTGATAACCGCAAAATGTGTCATATTCGGCAAAGCTCAGCACGCAGTCAGTTGTACCACTTGGCTACGTACGAGACACTCATACGTACGAACATGCTTGAATAACAGACAGCAAAGTATTGCAGAAAGAATATACTTTTTTTAATTGGCACTGCAGCTCTACACTAAAAGCGACTCCAGTCCATCGAGCCACATCCAAGCACAGCTTCACATCATGTCATCAACCCCTGGGCAGATTATGACTCGCCCATCTCCTTCGCAAGCTGCTCCGCCTTGGTCTTGACGTCCTCGATCGTGCCAACCATGTAGAACGCAGACTCTGGAAGCGAATCGTGTTGGCCAGAGAGAATCTCCTTGAATGACCGGACGGTGTCCTTGAGAGACACAAGCTTTCCCTCGAAACCAGTGAAGACCTGCGCGACCTGGAAGGGCTGCGACATGAAACGCTGGATCTTACGAGCACGCTCGACCTGCAGAGAGTATATTAGACATGTACATGGCAATGCGCCGCGAGCGAAGAGCGACTCACGGTCAGCTTGTCCTCTTCGGACAACTCATCCATACCCAGGATAGCAATGATATCCTGGAGCGACTTGTAGTCCTGGAGGATCTTCTGCACAGCAGTAGCAACATCATAGTGCTCCTGACCGACCTGTAACAAGCGTGCTTGGTCATTATCAGGCCAGTGAGGTCCCCAGAAACCACTTACGATACGGGGGTCGAGCATACGCGACTTAGAGTCAAGGGGGTCGACGGCTGGGTAAATACCAAGCTCAGCGATCTGACGGGACAACACAGTCGTTGCGTCCAAGTGGGCGAAAGTCGTGGCCGGGGCGGGATCGGTCAAATCGTCGGCAGGAACGTAGACAGCCTGCACGGAGGTAATCGAACCCTTCTTGGTGGTGGTGATACGCTCCTGCCTAAACACATAAAACATCAACACAAATCCTTCGTGTCGTTGATAAGGAAACCACTAACATGCCACCCATGTCCGTCGACAGCGTCGGCTGGTAACCGACAGCGGACGGGATACGACCGAGCAGCGCAGACACCTCCGAACCGGCCTGCGTGAAACGGAAGATGTTGTCAATGAACAGGAGCACATCCTGGCCCTCCTCATCACGGAAGTACTCCGCGATGGTCAAACCAGTGAGAGCGACACGGGCACGGGCACCTGGGGGCTCGTTCATCTGGCCGAAGACGAGAGCGACCTTGGAGTCACCCTCGAGGTTGATGACACCGGTCTCAATCATCTCGTGGTACAAGTCGTTACCCTCACGAGTACGCTCACCGACACCTAGGAAAGTGATATCAAAAGATGTCGGGGTTAATGCGGGAGAACGCGGACATACCACAGAAGATAGAGAAACCACCGTGCGCCTTCGCGACGTTGTTGATGAGCTCCTGAATCAACACAGTCTTGCCGACACCAGCACCACCGAAAAGACCAATCTTTCCACCACGGGCGTAAGGGGCGAGCAAATCGACGACCTTGATACCAGTCTCCAAAACCTCAGCAGTCGTGGACTGCTCCACGAAAGCGGGAGGGTCGGCATGGATGGGGGACAACTTGACACCGTTGATGGGACCACGCTCGTCAATGGGCTCGCCGATGACGTTCATGATACGGCCAAGGGTCGCAGTGCCAACGGGAATCTTGATGGGGGAGCCCGTGTCTACAACCTTCTGACCACGGACAAGACCCTCAGTACCGTCCATGGCAATGGTACGGACCGAGTTCTCGCCCAAGTGGGCGGCGACCTCGAGAACGAGACGGCCACCGTGGAAGTCAAGGACCTCAAGCGCGTTCAGGATAGGAGGGAGGTTGTCCGACTCGAACTGTACGTCGACAACGGCACCGATGACGGTCTTGACGTGGCCGCTAGCGCCCTTCGCCTCCGTGGCATATGAGCGAGCTAGAATTCCACGAAAAAAAAGTGCAAAAGTGTCGAGCAATGAGTTGAAAAGCCCCCTACACAACCAGAGACGAACACTGACCGGACTGCGCTGGTGCGCGAGGAGCACGAGCCTGCGCGCGTTGTGACGACGGTGCGTGAGCAGCGCGCGCCGCGATGGCGGGCACCGCAGCGGTGGAGAAGAACGCATTGGTCTTCTTTGCGCTGTTCAGCGCCCTACGGGAGAGACGGTGTACGCCGCGCGAGGTGAGCATGGTCGACGACGTGGACGATGAAGAGGTGGAATGACGAGGCAAGCGCGACGACCACATAAACTTCATTTCGAGCTCCGCTACCCCCGGTGCCGGCTTCCCCCGAGCGACCATCTCACGCCGTCCGACCCCTTCGTTCGCTGGCAGCCTCGCACACCCTGCGCACCCTGCGCGCACATTGTTGTCTTTGTGATCTTTACGTCCCATACCTCAAGGCCAAAATACTGTCATGTATTCACAAATTATTGGCACCTACAAGCCGCTACATTAGCGTTCACGACGGCAAGGTAAGCTTATTCGAGCCTGCCGGAGACCTCGGACACCTAGGATCGGCACCCGGGAGATAGTAGCCGCCCCGGACCGCGCTCCATTGGAAAAAAATCAATGGTGGCTTGAATATTCGACATGCAAGTAATTGACGCACGTTCGTACTCTCGCAAGGACCCTGTTAAAGTCGTTCGTCCCGCCATTCATCCAGGCATCTACCAGGGCCTGCGATCACAAAAGTGAGTCCGTGCGATCGCTTCGAGATGTGCGCAGATATGAACGATGTACCCAGTGTGCGGCATTTGCGGTCTCATCCTCCATGACCCGACTCAGGAGGCGGCGCCGGAGATCTGTGAAGGTCTCTCGCTCCTCCAGCATCGCGGTCAAGATGCGTGTGGTATCGTCACTTGCGGGCCCAAGGGACGCTTCTATCAGTGCAAGGCCAACGGCATGGTCAGAGACGTCTTCGACGCTCAAGCATTGTCCACCCTGTACGGCTGGATGGGCATCGGGCACGGTATGTGAGGCCAACCAATGCATAGCTGCGTAACTAAGCGATTGCGTGGAGTGAGATACCCCACTGCAGGCAGCTCTCACCACGCCGAAGCACAGCCGTTCTATGTGAACTCACCCTACGGTATCGTCTTTGCTCATGTGAGCCCTTTCCTTGCTTTCCTTGCGACCCCCTACTCATACTGGATCAGAATGGGAACCTTATTAACACTCAATCGTTGCTCCAGTCCATGGATGCCACCGCTCATAGGCACATCAACACGTCCTCCGACTCTGAGCTCCTGCTGAACGTCTTTGCCGACAACCTGCAGAAGACGGGCAAGTTCCGTATCAACGAGGAGGATATCTTCACCGCGATCGGCAGCCTTATGGAGCAGTGCAAGGGCGCGTACGCATGTATCGCCATGCTCGCTGGTTTCGGGATCATCGCGTTCAGAGACCCCAATGGCATTCGCCCCGTAGGCATGGCCTCGCGCAAAGCGTTTGGCAGCGCTACCGGCCGAGACTACATGTTCGCGAGCGAGAGCGTCGTTGCCGACGCGAGCGGTTTCGGCGATTGGGAGGACGTCAAACCAGGTGAGCAACACGCGTCTCGTGCCTGTATCCGGACCGCGCTGAGCGTGCTGCAGGCGAGGCTGTTATCATCACGCGCAACACCGTCAGCCGCAGAATAGTCGGCAAAGCACAGACATTCGCACCCGACATCTTCGAGTATGTGTACTTCGCTCGGCCGGACTCGGTCCTAGACGGAATTAGCGTGTACCGGAGCCGGATGGCAATGGGCGATGCGCTTGCTGCAGAAGTACAGCGGGTGCTCACTGCTAAAGGGCTGTCGGTCGATGTTGTCATACCCGTACGTGCCCTACTCTGTGCCAAGGTTACTTGGGAGGCTGAGGGCTGTATGTGCATCAGGTTCCGGATACGTCCAGGGTCGCCGCGCTCAACTTGGCGCAGAAGTTGAACCTTCCCTACCGAGAGGGATTTATCAAAAACCGCTACGTCGGGCGCACCTTCATCATGCCAGGGCAGCAGATGCGCCGGAAGAACGTGCGGCGGAAGTTGAACGCGATGGCGCTCGAGTTCGCGGGCAAGAACATCCTCATCGTTGACGACTCCATCGTGCGCGGTACGACGTCGAAGGAGATCGTCCAGATGGCAAAGGACGTCGGTGCGAAGAAGGTCATCGTCGCGTCGTGCGCACCACCCATCCGCTACTCGAACGTCTACGGTATTGACATGCCCTCCCGTTCCGAACTCGTCGCCCATAACCGCTCTTCGGACGACGTTGCGGAGGCGATCGGCGCCGACCTCGTCATCTATCAGACACTGCCGGACCTTATCCACGCTGTGCGGCAGTTCAACCCGGCAATACAGCAGTTCGACTGTTCGGTCTTCACGGGTGAGTACGTTACGGGCGGGGTGGACGAAGAGTATCTCTCGATGCTAGAACAAATCCGCTCGGACAATGTCAAGGGCGTAAAGTCCAATGGCATTGCAGGCGGTCCGGACGCGAAGGAAGATAGGGACCTCGCGCTTGGGTGCAGCGGGCCTATGAACGGTGCTGATACAATAGGTTTGCATAATAGCTGGAAGTTGGGGTAATGTAGAGTACCTTGACTAATCAAAAGATGATGTTGTAACCGTGCTGTAGAACAAATCTAAATGTATGTACTGCCGAAGGCTCTGCTGTTGAACCCTCCTTAACTGATGTCGGTGCGGCAACCCATAAGTGACGTGCGTGACGGTGTGGCACTGCTGAGATAGATTCTGGTTCTCTTTTGCCCCTCCCATTGAAGCTTGTTTGAGGGGTCGCATGGAAAGTTTACATTTTAGTTAATGAAAAAAAAATGATACCGTCGACGGGGCTCGAACCCGCAACTCCCACCTTATTGCATCAGTAGCTGTGACTGGCTAACAGATGTAGGAAGGTGATGCGCTACCATTGCGCCACGACGGCTTGATGTGGGTGATCAGGAGGCTACTTTAGCGAGTTGAGGACGTTGTGCTCTACCCCCTCGTTTCCCTTGCGATTCGTCATATTCCTCTCCACCTTGGAATCATGTTCTCAGCTTCCAATCTTCAGTACTGTGAAATCGTCTAGAAGTCTGCTCCCAGCTGGTACTGCACAGAGAAAGGCACTGACTCTAAGTATAGCAAGACTCAGTCGCTGAGAGCCGCCTCCTGAGATCCTTGGCAGGCGGAAGGCTTGGCATCTATGACGGCGTTGACCAAACTCTCGCCGAGCAAACTGCGCTGGCCAAGGGTCTGATCATGTGTATATAACAACCGCGACTACACCGCCCTTCCTACATTCCGAACCATGTCCACCAGCTCAGAGACCACCCCTCTGCTCCCGACACAGAATGGCGATGGTCACCTCGAATCCGCACCATTTCAACAGAAAGTCGTCAAGTTCTTCAAGGCAGAGGGCGAACCGAGTTGGCTGGCTTCATACCGTTTCTTCTTCTTTGGCTCCTGGCTCAACATACTGCTCGTATTCATTCCCTTGAGCTTCATCGCACAGTACCTGCAATGGGACGCCGCATACCGCTTCAGCTTCAGCTTTGTTGCAATTATGCCTTTGGCAGCGGTGAGCAAGGACCCGAGCGCGCAGTGGAGTTGTACCACTCACGAATGGTCGACAGCTCCTGGGTACCGCAACCGAACAAATGTCACTCAAGCTGGGCCAGACCGTGTCTGGGCTTTTGAACGCCTCCTTCGGAAATGCCGTAGAAATCATCGTCGGTGTGGCCGCCCTCATGCAGAGTGCGTCGCGCTTCGTGGGCAGTTCGGAACATCGACTGACTAGACTTCACAGACCAGTTGCGAATCGTGCAGACTTCGGTACAGACAGTGTATTCACCTCTTGAGTGTGCCTGACATCTGCGCAGATGCTTGGGTCTATCTTGTCCAACCTCTTGCTCGTGCTTGGGTGTTCTTTCTTTGCAGGTGGCCTGAAGTACCCACAGAGTTCCTTCGATGAGACAGCGGCTCAGGCGTACGTCCCCACCTACAAGGCAATCTTTGTAGACTAACCGCCTCCTGCGCAGGTCGAGTTCGTTGATGACTCTCGCATGCATCAGTGTGTCTCTTACTTACTTTCCCAGTGTCAGAATGTTGACCGTCAAACACAGCCCTTGTCATCCCCGCCGCGTACCACAGCGCGAACATGCACTCCGGCAACATTAATACTACGACACTGGTGAACTCGGTTGCACATGCGGTCATCGACGGCACAGATCTCCCCTCCGACGCCGAACGTGGATTGCTCCTCATTTCCCGCGGCACGGCTGTGCTTCTCTTGATTGTGTACCTCGCGTACCTCCTGTTCCAGGTCCGTGTAGGCGTCTATAATATCTTTCCGTGAGCTCACTCGACGACAGCTCAAAACGCATGCTTTCCTCTTCACTGCCGAAGAGACTGAGGAGGAAGAGCAGCACATGAACGTCCCTTCCGCTGCGTTCGCGTACGCACAATATTGTTGCCCGAGTAGGCGCCGCCGCTGACACTGCACCAGTCTATTGCTTGTCACCTTGATCACCTCGTTCTGTGCTGACTATCGTGAGTGGCTCGTACTCAATGACGCCTTCTCGCTTACTCTGCTACAAGTGGTCGCCTCAATCGAAGAGGTTGCGGATAGCTACGGCATCTCGAGACCGTTTATCGGTGTCATCCTCCTCCCCATTGTGGCGAACGCGGCGGAACATGTCACCTCGATCTGGATGGCGCGCAAGAACAAGATGGCTCTGACGATTGGGATCTGTGTGGGCAGCTCGATCGTGCGTTCTGCAGCGCTTATTGTGTCCATCACGACCGCACGACTGATCGCCCAATTCATTCCAGCAAATCTCCGCCTTCGTGGTGCCGCTTCTTGTGATTGTCGGCTGGATGTGAGTGGGCAAGCTCGGAGCTAGCGGCCGTTGAGTCTAACACGTGTGCAAACAGAACCAACCATAACCTCACGCTCTTTTTCTCCGACTTTGAGGTGCGTCACGATATTTTGTGGAGGCTTGTACCGGTGCTCAGCACACTTGTAGACGATTGTGCTCTTCGTTTCTGTGCTTCTGGTGCAATTCCTGATTCAAGACGGCAAGTCTAACTACATGGAAGGCATGATGTAAGAGCCTCTCACCCCGGCCGCCGATTGTTCTCTAACATATGCCACTAGGCTCATGACACTGTACCTCGTCATCGCCATCTCATGTGAGCCCGGTCTCTCAAGCACTGCTGATACATGCGACTGATTATGCTGTAGTCTGGGTCTCCAAGTAATGGCAACAAAAATCCGTCCTCCGAACAAGGTGACACGTGCCAACCCTCATCGCCGTACCATAATGCTTCGTACTGTATCACCATGCTAGTTTGATACCCCGACAGTCCTATCCCTCGGAGAATGCCTCTTTCTGTTCACTTATTGCAGTGCCCTGTTGACTGTATCCGTAGCTTCCAGACGCGGGTAGGAAGTTGACACTTTTGGTTGCCTGTCGGTCACCAATGTACACACCTTGTTACCTCACGTAATGAAGCTGCATCCTTCCTTTAAGGCATCGTGTACGGACCCGAAATACGCAACACTGTTTGAGAGCAGCCGGTAGAGCGGTCCGGGTTACACTGGCGTCTGAGAGCAACGCCCTTGCGATATTACGGCGACACATTCTCATATATCCAGGCCGAGACTCTGTGCTAGTGTTTGACATATGCCGACTGCAGTGGCCTCAAGAGAATTCCTGCAACTGCTTCAGCGATGCATGCCTCCGGGAGGGTGGCCTCAAACTATTGGTATGTAGACCAAGTCTTGATCAAAGGTCTTGACTGATGTACCCCAGCCGTGGCGAACTCTGGAGGTCCTGACTCCACATGCCTACTCTGGCTCCTGTCTTCATTGATCAAGAGAGATGGGCCGCCAGGCTTACCTCGGAGAGTCGTGTCACTGCATATCAACCACCAGCTCCAGCAGACTTCCAATGACATGGCAGCCCTCGCCGAGAAGAGCGCACGAGCCATGAACGTTGAGCACCGCGTATTCACCGTCCCATGGTCGAGACCCCCGTACCCTGCGTTGCCGGATCCGTCATCTACAGAACTGCACGCCCGGAGGGCACGCATGCGTGCACTCTTCGACCAGATGTCCGAAGAAGGCGCTGCTGCAATCGCCTTCGGACACCACGCCGATGACCAGGTTGAGACCGTGATGATGCGCTACACAAACGGGAGCCGCGTGCTTGGTCTCAGAGGCATGTTGCCCGTGCGGCGTTGGGGCATGGGCAGTTCTGAGGGAGATGGTGAGCTCGACTTCTACGGTGAGGCCGGTATGTCTCGATGGGTGGTTAGGCCTTTCCTCTCTGTCCCCAAGGTCAGCATACCCTGATCCAACGAGAGTGTCCTCGATTCAAACCCGCACCAGGCCAGACTCCTTTCTACATGCGAGAAGCACGGCTTAGAATATGCCACTGACAAAACCAACTTCGATCCCAGCCTTACGTCCCGGAACGCTATCCGGCACATGCTGAGCACATATACCAAGCTCGTAAGAATTTATATCTGGATCATGAATACATAGACCGATGCTGTTGGCTTCAGGATCCGGAGTCGTCCGGCTTGATGGGGATGGATACTGCACAGCTCGCCTCAAACCTGGACGAATCTCGATCTCTGGATGGCTTGCGCGAAGTTGTGCGGGTACTTGGCCAACGCATCGACATGATCAACGGACAAGGTCGGTGTCTAGTCGCCTCAAATGCTGATACTGTGTACCTGACCGTGTCTGAACACTCCTTAGTCAATAGTATACTGGCGCGGGGTTTATTGCCAACACTACCGTCAACAGTCACCTTGCTGTCATCCTGGATGAAGGGGGTTCCCGTCGATACACTTGAATGTCTAGTGTCGCGCGTCCTACGCTATGTCTCCAGCTATCCGTGGGGTTCAAATCGGGCGCAGGCCAACGGATCCAAGTCGGTATACGTCAACACCATGGCAAAACTGACTGAGGTAGATCTTCCTCGGAGGACGTTCGCATATGGAGCCGCTGCCATGTTCATCCCAGGTGCAGTGGTGCATGACGGGACTTTCCGGCAGTCGGAGCCGCTCAAGGTCAATCGTCGTGCGTGGAGAGCCCAGAAAGCCCCACCGTATTCCAGGAACAAGGTTTACACGGACAAGATCTCGGACAGCTTGGTAGTCAATCTCACTCCACGAATCTTGGGATGGCGGAAAGGAGAACCATATCCGATGGTGTTATACGACAACAGATTCCTCGTCAAGTTTGACATGTCTCAAGTCCCTAAAACGGTCCTCGCTTTGCTCGAGCGGACACCGGACGCACAGATATGTATCGCCCCACATGGTCCAGAACAGAGGCCAAGGATCTCTCTGCACGTTGATTCTCATGAAGAAGTCTTGATTGACTATCGACATGACGTGCTGCGGATGCCCGAAATCAAGGTTCCAAAGCACAAGATAAAGTCGCAAGCACACAGACAGCGCTGGGTTCATATGTCTCTGGCACGGACAATACAGGACATATAGTGTTGCATTGTGTGGTATAACGGCCTGCCATCGGTGGACGTTGTGGCGACGTCTTACAGAGCAGTACGCCCCTCCACTCTCTATTCGTATTGCACTTCTGATAGCACCTCCAGACCTCGAGTATATCGGCCAGGCGGATTCTTGATTATACCAGCAGGCAGCGTGCTGTATGTTATATTACCAGACGTGGCGAAACTTACAAGCCGCTCTTGTTCACTCCGCGTATACGCAGAACCGCGTAGTACGGTGCTGATGCATCTCAATGCCTCGAGGCCTTCGCTCCTTACCTCCCACCGTCATCATGGAGCAGCCCACCGTTGAAACGCAGTCGCCGCCCCTCGAGCCTGCTGTGCGGGTGTGGAGTGGTTATGGATGATCGTCCGCTGTTGCCTTCCATCCTGCTTCGAATCTCCCTCGCATCAGCCGGTG